TTTAGGAGATATTTGTTTATTTATTTNTAAAATAAATTTAAATGAATTATTCTGCTCACTAATTGCTAAAATATATTTTATTTATATGATAATATATTAAGCCTCCTAATAAAGAGATAAGTTTAAGTTATTTCGTTTATTCTCTAGTATTAGATGCATACAGCAAAATGACGGGAATTTGACGTAATAATCATTTGTTGCAAAGCTTTGCCAAGTTAAAACAAATAGAATTTGTGGTTTATTGTCTGCTTTCAATTGTGTCTACTCGTTAAAAATCCAGAACTGTATCTTCTTACATCTGTGAAGAGGATGCTAGTAAAAATTGTTCAACCGACCAACTGTTTTTGGTAATTTGCTACGTGAGTACGAGTGAATAAGAAATATAAAATGGCTGTGCTTCAACTATATTTTATATCAGAATTACACAGTTGATAACAGAACAATAGTTTTGTTTACAAAATGCATCAAAACATTGCAACAAGAGGAAAGGAGTTAATCGATGTTAAAAATGGATGATTTGATCATGTTTAAAGTGGATTAGTTTATCGAATGCAATGTCGTTCTATTTTTATGATTGTGATCTCGACAAAATTTGCTGAAAGTATGTTATAATTCTGGTCTAATTGATAAAATGTAAATGACATTCAGCATTCAAATAGATACAGTCGACCCCTCTATAAAATATAGATACGTTCCATTCTTTAGGAATCCGATTTCTTACGAGTCGTTCCAATCACAGCCCGACACGTGTGAAGTTTACGGACTACGGCTGATTGAAAGGTTTTCTTCCATAAAATTAATCGATTCTAGACTATTCCGACTCAACATTTCCAAAATACGTATATTTTTTTTCTTCTTTTTACGGATACCGGTCACAATTTTTTCGTAGTTTTATAGGAATCGTAATTATAGAGACCGTAATTATAGAGGGGTCGACTGTATTGTAGCTCCTGCGGTTTCTATAGCTGTTTAAAAAATTTAAAAGATTATATAAACGCTAGAAACATTTTTTCTTCTTGCTGCAGGATATTCGTTAGAAAATATATGTTTTGTTTTAGGATTGTATGTAGATTTAATCAGGAAAGAGGTTTAGAGCTGTGCTTGATCAGATTAACACGTTAATGATATCCTACTTAATGTTGGTCGGTTGGTAAATACGATCAAGCATTTTAAATATATTTTTTCTTTAATTTTTTTGGAGAAATCTTCTCATGTTATACAACATCAGTAGATTCTTACTTGCTACTTCATCATTCTTGTAATGAAGTCTGAAATTAATATTACATAAACATGAAAGTGTATAAAATGGTCACTGTTTGACTAAGTTTGCGTTTTATTCAGACAATTGATACGTAAACCAGATAAGAATTTTTGTCTTGTATACTAAATTAATCATTGTTTTGCGTCTAGCCGTATTGACGTTTTTCTTCGAATTTATTAGCAAACCGGAAAAATGTATTGTTGAAAATTATATATAGCGTACCAAATGATTAAATGAGAAAAATCAAGCAAACAATTACTTAACTCTTCTGGCGATATTTTTGGCACCATATGTTATCATATTTTATTATAATAATTTTTTTAGTTTTAACCATTGAAAATTTTTTAAAAGATTAATTTTGAGAGTAGGAACGGGATTTATGAAAAATTATGTTTGCTAATAAGTAAAATTGTCAATAAGTCTGTCCCTACCTGCGATATACTCTACTCCTTTTTCTCCCTACCCGTCGACTTTTAACAAATAAAATATAACAGATTCAATTACTTTAATACAGAAACCTCCAACAAAAACTTCAGAAATTTTCGGCAAAAGCACCGGAATTATTAGGCTGCTAGCGGATGAGCCCAGCGTTGCTCAGACATGTAAGTTAATTTCCGTTATAATATGAAATTAACTTATTTGATAACCGTACAGTACTTGAATAGAGTGATTAATTTTAAATTTCAAAATCTAAAATGTTTTTTTTTTTTTTCTACATTTTACAACGAATTTTTGTAATATGAAACTAATTCAAATATTCGTTGAAATTCGTTTATTTTGGATATATTGTTTTTTGGGTTACCCGAAGAGTGGAAATGATTAAAATATTTATTAATTTCCAAAATATATATGTAAGAAGTTTTTATAGAGAAAATCCCGCGAGGAGGAGAAAAAAAGCATGGAGCACTAGTAGTGTTTTTATAAAAAAAGCAGAAAGATGGCTGCTTAGTCTTTGTACACAGTTAATAATTATAATAAAAATTAGTTCCTAGTTTTTTACCATTGCCTTCGAATTATTTCAAAAACCTGTACACTCCATGAACACGAGTCGTACTACAATATACTAAATGTGCCACTACAGGTATACCTCGACTTACGTCGTTTCGAGTTACGTCGTTCCCGATTATACGTCGTTTGTCAAAAAAGTATACGGAAAAAAAAAGTCAAGATTAAGTCATTTTATTCGACTTTACGTCCGTCCGCCACAAATATTGAAGTCGTAATATCACTAGAAAAGCGTTTAAAGCACATAAAATCATATTAAAATATATACATTTACAAGTATGTACTGTATTTACAGAACAGTACATGCATTCGTAAATTTAGATTACTTTTTTCTGTACTCTATTAAAAACTAAAATTTATTTGTTTGTAAGCTTAAAATAGATTCTTATTAACCATATATTATTAAAAATGCATTAATAAATAAAATACAGATCTGGGAATAATAATTTATGGTTTTTCCTAGTGACAAGTAGATTCGGAAACAAGTAAATTCGACTTACGTCGTTTTTCGACTTAGGTCGTTTTCCTGGAACCAATTACCGACGTAAGGCGAGGTATACCTGTATTTACTTTTCTTCTTTATTATTTCCACTATATACTGATTAAAACTAAGTTTCTCGTTTTTTCCATCGGAGAGTTGAATTTCCAAAAATCCGTTCTTAATGTGCATTCTCATGGCACTACTAAACCGCAATCAAAAAGGCAGAAAACCGCATCTAAAATAGTAAAATAGAAGTCGAGTTCTACAAGGTAATCATCCTCTACGTCTTCCCGGGGATATCCAAAATTTTTTTATTTGGGAGCATTCTTATGGCTTACCCTACTAATACGCAGTTAAAAACAAAAAGTCGCATTTAAACTAGTACAGTAGTGTGAGATACCGAGGGCACTAGTATTGTCCCTAGGAACCACTTACGCGGCAGCAGTCTGCAAAGAACTCGTACGCTTGTCGTTTCGGATGGCTTTTTCTCGAGTTTCTAGGTGGTGAGCAAGTCGTTAGGTGTTCTTAGAAAGACAGGAGATAGGTTTGACAAACAAAATAAAGCATTTATTATATTAGAACTAACTAGAAGATACAAGACGCTGCACAAAGTTCGATTCATAGACAGGTTATATATGGCTAAATGCGATAAAAATGCGATTACAATCTCTAATGCCGTAGAAAGGGCTAATCTATCAGATAGGCCAGAGGTCAGCAGTTTGTCAAGTGAGAAGAGCCAAATTGTCATTGAAACAGTATAACAAAAGTACCAGAGAGCCGCATATATAACGGGCACCAGAGAGACGCCTTCCAGTGCTCGTTACAGGCATTCCGTGACAATAATAAATTCCTATTACAAATATACTGAATTATTTATATTATTATTGGCTATTGGCCAAATGAATAATAATAATTTATACAGTTAATTTAAATGTGCGAAATACGAGACACGACAGGGGCGCCTCTAGGGGCCGTTTTTGGCATAACGTAACATGGACAGACACGCTTTCAATGGGTTATGTATACATAGATATAATTCAAATGCTGCCACTCGCATGCGACTCATATTAATCAACGCGAGTGTTGTCGTGCGGACGGGCTAAAGAGTGGTAGAAAGTATGCCGTACGAATCGAAGTTTGTTCGGCGGCTCTATCTCATAAATTCATAAGTTATAAGGCTGCGGTGAAATGAGGTGAGGTGAAATTGGAGTTTATGTTCGATGAGTCACAAACGTCTATGCAAAGAGCCGCCTGTGGCTCGCGAGCCACTTATTCCGACCCCTGAGCTAGGCCTATTTTCCAGAAAGACAGAGAGAGAGAGAGTTACCTACTAATTATCTCTAATGTTGGATGAGAGCTATGTGCGGCGATAACAGTTCTACATGGAAGTGTCTCAACCCTTGAGTGTCTTCCAACCGGTCTTCTCCTTTCGTTGAATCGGGTCCATTGTATGGAGGTTCGGGAGATGGAATATAACTTCCAATTTGATCGCCCCCGAGCTTCCAGTAGCTCGCGCTTGTATCTCATTGTCGTGGGAAATGACCATGTGTGACCATGTGATTGCCAAATGTTGACGATGACGAAGCATTTTTGAAACTTACGTCTGAACTTTCCCATCTGGTTGTTACTACAACTGGTGACTTTATTCTTTTTTTCTATTGGGGGATGTTTACATTTCGAAAAACATGATTCATATTAATTTTTACAATTTCCTTATATTCTGCGGGATCACAGTAGAAGCCGTTCTTCAGGCTAAGTCGTATTGCTCTCCCACTCTCCCTAAGGAAAATTTCGAAAAATCCCTTCTTAGACATTTTCATGACGTACCCTATCTGTCAAAATTTCACCACTTTAAGTTCGGCAGTTTGCTCTGGGCCGTTTGTTCTGGGTAAATAAATCACTCAGTCAGGACAAGTTATTTTATCTATTTACATATTTTTTTTTAATTAGTAAAAGTAATAGTATACTGTTTTATCTGGGAGAGAACATATCAAAAGAGGATGTTATTATATCATAAATAACTACTGTTGTTGCTAATTTTTATTAGTAATAACAGAAATGTTATGATGTCAAGAAATTACAACTGCAAATTGTTTATTTTCAACTGTCTGTGTATCTTTTACTATTTTACCACTCTCAAAATCTTAATTCTTTCACTTTGTCCAGTTTACTCCTAAATACAGAAATTTTCGTTCTCTTGTATTAAAATAATAACGTTTTATAGATGATAAAAACAATAAATTGATTACAAAACAATAAATTGATTACAATACTCCAGTAATAATTCGTCAATTTTCGATTTATAGAGAAACAATAAAAGAATTGTGCAATTGTTAAGATAAACGTTATTGTTGCATATTCAGAAAGAGTCGGTTTTGGTGTGAAAAATGTACCTGAACGAAATCGATAAACAAAATTCTAGTTTTTATGAAGGAAAACTCATTCTTTGTGGATCCAATCTGAAAAACAATATGCACATTATTGGGATCTGGAGTCGAACTTTAAAGGACCGGCCATTTCAATGCCAATACTGCCGCAGAACGTTTAATACTAGGGCTGAGTTAGAAAATCATATTAATAGTCAACATAAGGACCCACGTAAGGAAATTCGTTCAGGTGAATCACTGAAACACGAGGAATACAGAAGAGCATACGGAGAACATTTTAGTTTACACCGAGGCATTATTCTGCATGATTTATTTTCTGAAGTACGTACTAAAATATTAATTTTATTATTATTCCAATATGGATAAGTTTGAAATTATTATTAATTTCTACTAATATTAGATTTATCTTTTATTACTGCCATTAACTCCCTTTTTATCAGGGTAATGGTATTCACGGACCACGGTAGTCTGAATCTGAAAGTAATTTCGAAAACTACTTGAAAACATTAGCGAGGGATTACATATGTAACTTCTTCACATAAGCAGCAAATTTAGGACATTTAATTTAAGAGAAACTATAGCATCATTCCGCGACAGGAACAAAAATTGAATAAATATTATTGAAAAACAATATATGCGAAATTCGGTATTGTTAGTTAAAGATGAAAATAATTCAACTCTCATTTTTTTTCTCATAATGAATTGAAACAATAGTAATATAAATGATACCGCAGGGTTGACACGACGTCAATATCTCACGTCAGGTCTGACACTATTGTGCTCTAAGAGACAGATAAATCGCGATGGCGGTTATATTTCGATTCACGTGCAAACGTTGTTCTTGCAGCGGTCGGATATAGAAGATTCGAGAGACAACGTGTCCGAAAGAAATGAACTCAATTACAGATTTAACGTGAACATACACCTGTCTATTTACATAAGATATTACATATTTATACCTATAAGAGGTTAATAGGATTTTAATATACAGTTGTTACGACTATCATAACCGTTCTCTTGCTGCTAGAGAGAGGGAGTTTACATTCGATCGAGTGCTGATAAACACCTTGATCCGTTGAGTTGTTGTTCGGTAAGCAGATACATGACACAAAGAGTATTGTTTGTTCGATGAGTAAACAGGCAGTTGGAATAGACGTTGGCACTAGCAGGTGGAGGATAGGTACATACTACGTAGGTAAATACGAGCTCTGGGAATCGGTATTCTGTAGCGGTTATGTCAGAGCACGGCGAAATTCTTGTTCAATGACGAAATGGTAAGAAACTCGTGATGATCGGCAATCTCTCAATGACAGACAGACTTCTGTGACACACCAACTCAGGAGATGACGAACTGTTTTGTGTTTATTGATTTTACTTAAGTTTTATGATCATTAGCGATATTTCCGTTAGGTTCCTGATGACAAATTATCATTGTCGCCTTATTATTGATAATCACTCATTTCAAAACCAGTGAATGAATGAATAACACCTGCGGGCAAATGACAAATACCATAGAACGCTAGTGTAATTCTTGTAGTTTATCGATGGTTTCTTACTCAACAACAGATTAGGCACGTGCAGACAGAAACTGCAGTTTGCTCAGTGTCCAACAGCTAAGAAAGTTCTTCGTGGAGGCAACCCAATTGTATATCTTTTATGTGTAGCATTACCTTATTACATTAATTTAATTTAATAGCATTTTCTTCTTTAGTATAGCAATTGTTTTTAAGATTAAAATATATTTGATTCATGAATAAATTTTCTATTACAGGAAATTTTTGCAACATTTAAAAAATTACAAGCTGATTTCGATAATTCTGAGAGGTCGAGTTTAGAAAATAAAACAAAAAAGTATTTTAAATCTATACTAAAAATTGAAGATAAAGATGAATTAAAAGTTGAGGGTCCCGAAATGAAAAACATTAAAGCAAATGAAAAACAAAATTCAGCAGAAGGTCCTCAAACGTTCACTTTTGAAAGTGTAGATATAAAATCTGGGATCGGCAAAGTTTCAGACTAATTATAAATACTGAAACGTTATCTTTAGTTGCAAAATTTTCTAATTCAAGTGCACTCATTTACGTTTGGTTCATTTATATAATTTATGTTAAAATTGGTTAAACGTTTCTTAAATTCAAAATTATAATAATTGTGAAAATGGCATTTTTCACAGTAATAAAAATCGCTTCAATTTTAATTAATTTCTTTTCTAGTTCTATCGTTAATTTGCAATAATTATTAACATATCTATATAGAATGAGAGTTTCAGTCATAAACAGGAGACACCTAAAAAATGTTTTATAAATAAAATCTAAAATGTGAGTGAAATGAAAAATACTTGATAAAATTTATCACATGAAAGGAACAAATATACTCTTACTTCAAGAATTTTGTTATTGTTTAGTTTGAAAATATATTTATACATAACACAAATTAATACTTATTTTTTATTTTAAAGATGTAAACTTAAATTAAATAGAACGAAAAATATAAATTAAACACCCATCTATCTATAAATATACAGTACCTTACTAAATTATTAGATCCAAGGACCAAAGTTATACTTCTTACACTATTTTCTTCTTTTTTTATTATAATGGTTTTAAAGAAATGAGTATTTTTTAATTCTTATTTTCTATTCGCTATTACTTCTAAAAAATTGCTTATATTGCAACATTTAATTGTATGAAAAAATAATTTGTTACTAAAAAAAGAGAATTAATGGAGGATCTTATTAAGATATGGTATTATAGAGTAGTGATTAGAACAAAAATTAAAAAAACAATGTATAAAGAGTATTCGTTGTCATATAGAAAAACTAATGACTGTCAATTGTGGTCATACTAAATACTAATTTTTATTTTTAATTCTTTAAATCTTATATTAAAATTTTTCATATTACAAAAAATTACAAAGAAATAATAGACAATTTTAAATAATTCTATCAATGTGTTCGCTATTATTGATTTATTTCATCAAAAACTAATAATTTGGGAAAATCCTGTATATATACATACATAGGTATATACATGCGGAGGTGCTATTTAAAGCAAACAAGTAAACTCTAAACAATTGTTGGTAATACGTAAAAAGCTGTTGTTGAATATATTTTCACTTTACACCTGTAAATATTATTATTTTTTTAATTTTTTATTTAACATAAATATTTGAAGGTAGTTTTTGATAGAAATATAGTTAGTATTTGATTATTTAACACGAAAAATAGAGATGATTCTTTTTAATTGGATAGGATGGATATGTTTTTTGCATGAACTGTGTAAGGATATGTTTTCTTTTTCCTGACAACTATATACTTTTTTACTTTTTTATACTGGCTACTTTTTTGACTTATAAAAAATGGCATTTTACAAAATAAGGATAAACAATGAACTCTGCAAAATGAAAAACAGAAACTTTCTTACCACTTGAACAGTTTTAGGTTTCTTTCTAGTTCGAACATTGTCTTCTACTGCGCTTATCATACTGTTTTCATCTATTTTTAACTGAATAATAACACTGAAATACACTGTATAATAAAATATGTACGAATAAACAGTACTTTAATATGAAAATCTTTGTTCCAACAGAACAAGAAAATGATACAACAATAACAAAACCACCTGTTTCGTTCTGGGAGATACGTGACTCAATCATAGGTCTTCATTTGCTGAGGCAAAGTGCAATGGATATGTTTTTTTTTTTTTCTTTCTTGAAACACATGTAAAGAGATTATGCACAGACCATCGATTTTCCAACCTAAATTACTGTTGGATATGTATTTTTTAATTAAATTGATTTAATTAATAGTAAATAGGAATAAGGCTAAAAAATAATTAATTCTAAACTCAAATTTGATTTTTTGTAGATTTGTTTGCTTTTGCATGGCACCTCCTCATATACAATGATATACTTTATCAGAAAATGAAGTAAATAAACAAATCTAACGACGCACATAAATAAAGTTATATGTATTACGAATAAAAGAAGAACGAGGGGAAACACCGTGCCACACAGAAGTTCATTGTTATTTACTTAAAAAACAGTAATTAAGATAGGAAGTTTAGAAATTAACTTAATATTATATTGCTCTCTTTGCTGTTTGTTGTTCAAGATGTGTTGTTACCACTCCGACTATGATCAAATGCCTTGAGGGTAATTGAATTTATGCTACATAAAACCTATTTGCATCAGAATCGTAGGGTACCGAATACTTTATCCGATGTTGGTAGGTTACCCTGTTAAACAGGTTTCTTTACAACATAAAAAACCACTTCGCTCTAAAGTACTTTTTCGTCTAGATAAGTTACCTTTTTATTCAGGTTTTTTAAAAGATTTAACTGTATATAATAAAAGGTAAAAATTAAAAAAAAATCAAAATATGCAGGAGTTATTCGATTTGGAAATAGAGAAAATTTATTATTATGAGATATATCCATACATTAATTAAAGATACTTAACTATTCCTTGTATTGACTAATATTTTGATAGTTGGGAAACAGAGTTTAATAAGTACAATAAAACACTTTTTTTAACATTTAAACATGTAGTCATCTACAGTTCATTGAATAAACAAACAAATGTTATCCAAAACTCATATTCAGTTTACTTCTTCAAAAAGAGTAAAACCGAGTTTCAAAATTTAATTTTTGTGCAAATGAAATTGAACAAGTAGAACATTCTCTTCAGTAATAGTTTTATATTACATTAATACAAAACATTTCTAAATATTTACAAGTGACTTATAAATATAGACACATACATTTTTAATTTAGATTGTATTCTGTTTAATATGAGATTAATTTCGATCTTTTTTTCAAGTTACACTACAGAAGAGTATTGTCCTAATTATACATACACTGAATAATCAATTAAACGTAAAACTCGCTATGAGTAACGCAATAAATTTCACCATGTGTGTGAAACTCTTGTACTTCATCGCATAATTGATATTCTGTAACTCAATTCTACAACAAAGAATAACGATGCAAATCAAAGCTGATACTGAAAGATAGTCATCACTAACGATGACTTGCTAACGTTTAAGAAATAGTATAGTTCTCATCACTGTATAACTCAGATGAATGTCATAACCATGCAAATCAATATTCATACAGAACAATTTGATGGGAATCGAGATGACGAAAACAACATGTACGATCTGCATCCCTAGATTTGGATATTCCTTAGTTAATAATTTATGAATTAAAACAAACACAACAGCTCAACACTTCGAAAGTGTTACTGCAAAGACTTCTTTGATTAGATCACTTAGTATTTATAATAATTAATTTGCATTTCGCAGATAATGGCAGACGTGAATGTCAAAAATTGCGATTGACTGATACATTTTCAAGAAAAGAATTGTTATTGTCTATTTTCATTTATATGATAGCAGTTTAAGATACTGTACAGTAAAAGTGAATAAATTTGAATATTTCTTTTATTATATTTAGATTAATTTACGTTATTATTTAACAGTGGAATAATAGGTTAAATAATTGAAGAACTTGTTACTAGAATAATAGATGAAAAATCTTTAATACGCCTAGAGTTTTTCTACGTAACCCAAAAGTACTATGATATAATACTTATATATTAATACATGAGAATGCATAATTAACCATTAACACTCAGTATGATTAAGCACTGCTCTAGACCGTTTTCCTACTAACAGTTCGAAAATACAGCAGATAATTGCTAACGAATACCCTGCAACAAGGATCCAGAATGCCCCTAAAAAGTTATTTAAACTCAGTGCTTCAAATCCACTTTCCATTTTCTGATTTTTCTTGCTTATATCGGAAAGAACCGTATTTGTTATTCCACTCTCCAACAGACGGGTAACCCTATAATATAGAAATTATTCACTGTTGTGTATTGTGATGTAAATAAATAAATATATATATATATTTATTTATTATTACCTGCATGAATCATATAATACATGGATGCCCATAATAAATTTGGTACTTTTTTCAAATCATTCATATTTATACTTATGCAAATTAGTAATAATTTGTTCATTTCTTCTTTTTTTATTATAATGGTTTTAAAGAAATCAGAAATAAACCATTTTTTTTCATCAGCATTTGTCCACGATTTTATAACTCGACCATAAGAAATAAGTGCAATCCCTCCTTTTTTCGCGCGTGGCATCATATCGTTAAAACCGAAAAAGTTGTTGTTGGCTACAATGTGTTTTTTTAAATCTTTAACAAATCCAATATTCGAATTCTATAAAATTACCATATTGAAAAGTTCCATTACTAAAACACAAACCATATACACTCAATATGAAAGACAATATTGACTGACAAGAAAATACAATTAAAAATTTTACCATTATAAAGGTATAAACAGCCGAAGAGTCACGAGTGCCACAAGCAATCCTTCCTTTCTTTACAGCATCAGTCAATTCCTGAAATGTTTTGGGCACGGGCTCTAAACTTGGAGCAGTCAAGTGAGAAGTTAATGTTCCGCTATAACTAAATGTTAATATGAGAACTGTTACAGAGCAAATTCCAATAGCAATTCTTGAATACAGTCGATTTATATTGCTGATTTCAGATCCTAGAAAAAAAAGGAAAATCACGTAAATCTGATTGATGAAATTAATACGAAAACATCATATTATATAACGTATTTCTACCTTGATTAGTAAAAGAAGAAAATAAAAACCAAAAACTAGTCTTTAATGTCCAACGACGTTCTCCTTCAATTTGGTTTAATTCGTAATTTATTATTGGAGGAAGAATTAATGTAACTAAAATCATGGTTATAACTGTTGCAAACCAAACCTTTTGTAAAGAAAAAAAAAAAACATATTAGTAAAACTATTCTCTGTGGTATTATCTTTTTTTGTTTCTTTCTGCTTTTTTTAAACAGTACTAAATGTTTATCATAAAGCTATAATTAATTTAATCACGTAGGAACCTAATTCTCATATTTAAGAATTCTCAAGCTTTTAGAATTACAGTTCGATATTACTTTCCCGGCTGTTATGTGGGCTATACATAACAAAGAAAAGTATGGAAGTCGTTTCGAATTTGACCTCTGACTTTTTTTTTCATATCTCCACGTTATGTACATTTCCTAAATCCAAAAAGTTCGTGTGTGTGTGTGTGTGTATAGGCGTGTATTTAGCTTAATGTCTCAGGATGGAGTAAAGATTAAATAACGAAATTTGGCACAATGGCTATATATGAAAAGCATTAATGCGAATACATTCTGATTGTAAAAGATCGAGAGAGTGAGGTGATAAAGGGCTGTCAAGTGTCATATCTCGAGAGTGTTAGGGTTTTTTTTTTACTCTTTCCGCTTTATGAGCACTAAGAGGGCCTCTTATGGTAGGCCCATTATGGGTTCCGCCAGACCCACGAATGGTGAGAGACAGGGCCCGACATAACCGCACCGAAAAACTTCTTGACCCATCTGGATTCGAGTCCAGGTCCCCAGAGCGGTAGGCAGTCTACCACCTTGATTGCTCGGCCATCTGGCTTCAGTGTTAGAGAGGTTAGGACTTAATAAAGAATTTAATTCTTTATTAATATATAAACTATTTTCATAAAACTTATCACTACCCTAAAAATTAAGCCTTTTGTAACTTTCTAGTAATTAAAAATATAAAATTTTTATTTATAACAAAATGTTATAGCAGGTAAACAAATAACGTAACCAACACCTTGTTGCTTGCTGAGGGAGTTTTATTAAAATCGAACGTTTTCGATCCACTTAACGGATCATCATCAGGCAAGAATATACGAAAATGGAATACATCATAAATGGAATAATAAGTTCAAAAATTCAAAATATCAATAAACTGATAACATATCAATTAATAAAAATAAAAAATAAAAAAATAATAAATAAAAAATAATAAATTGTAAACGATACCAAATAATAAATAATATACTACAACGACTACACATTAATACTAAGTTTCCTTTAAATCAAATAATTATCATATTTCAGTTGTTGCGCTACTTGTAAGCTTCTTAACGGCAAATTTCCAAGCCGAGGGAAGACCCTCCGCATCCCTAGCATTAATGCAACTGTCCTTAAGTTTGCTCCTATATATCTCCATTTTTTCGGCCGTCTTCGCCAAAGTTGGTGAGTGTACTTGTCTCACGACTTCCGCTTCCTCCCATCCAATCAGGGATCCTTGGGCCTGCGCCATCTGGGCCAAAATTGTTGTATTAGACCCTTTTCTAGCATCATACTTATGTTCTCTAATCCGTACCCCGAGGCTTCTGGTGGTAACTCCTATGTAATCTTTTTTTATTCCTAATAGCTGGTTCTCGTAGGGAATCTTGTAAACACCTGCCTTATCTTCTTTTTTAACAACCCCTTTATCGTTTCTAAGAATTTTATATAAATTGGGAGCCCTTTTTAAAATCACCGTTGAATCTTTAACGCTTGCAATTTCCTTCATAATTCCTCCTAAATATTTGTTGAATGTAAATTTTGTGTACTTAGATGGACCTTGTCTGGATACTTTATCATTGTTCTTCTCATATTTTTTAACAATACCCGTTATAATATTCCTCTTATATCCTAAGGCTTCTGCCAACTGTATGATCCTTTCGATCTCAGTAACCCGGTCTATGATGTTGTCGCAGTATAGAAAAGCCCTTCTAACCAAGGCACGAAATGCTGCCATTTTGTAACGATAGGGGTCATTGGACTTAGCAGGGATGTATAGTGGGCTATGTGTTGGTTTTATGTACACGCCGGTGGATACATGCCCTTTGCTAAAGATGATATTAATATCTAAGAAATGTACCATCTTGGAACTTTTCTGCTCTAGCTTCAGGCTGAGGCCTTCCTCGTTATCGTTGATTCTATCTATGAAGCTAGTAATTTCTCGATTATTCCTCCATATTATAAATAAATCATCCACATATCTCTTGTAGAAAACGATTTCTCTTTCAAAGCTTCGTAATACTTTTTCTTCCAATTTTCTAACCACAAGCTCGCATAGAAGCCCCGAAATTGGGCTTCCCATCGGAACTCCCCTCTTTTGTTTATAAGTTTGGCCTTCGAAAGTGAAAAAAGATTCGCAACATATAAGATTAGCCATTTCCATAACCTCGTTTCTGTGATGCGTTAATATCGGGTTTTCTCTAAACAAGAACTCCAATAGAGTTTCCAAACAAGAATTAATCTTAATGGAGGGGTATAAACTCTCATAATCCAACACAGTTCCCACTTCTTCATCCATCAAAGTAATGTCTTGCAGCTCTTTAACCACCATTACAGGATCTTTTGCAACCAAATTACTACTTTCCATTAGGGAGGAGATATATTCTTGTAACCTTTTTTCTAGGAAAAATGTAGGTGCTTTATGCTTTTCCACTATTGGCCTTATTTCCTTGCCCTCTTTATGCGTTTTAGCGAAGGCGAATAGTCTAGGGATCCCAGGTCTGGGGTTACGGCATTTCCGGATAAAAGGTAAAACCTTCGCAAGCTTGGTTTCCTCCAGTTTCCTAACTCTTCTATCAATAGCCTCCACAATTTTACTGCTGGTTTTAATACATTCCGTCTTTTTGATGTATTCTTCTAAGGCTTTGTCATACGTTTGTTTTTTCATTAAAACTATTTGTTTACTTTTATCCGCTCTTGCGGCAATTAAGTTGTTTGCTTTCAGCCAACGCTTAGTATAAAGGATGTCTTTGTTAATACTTCCTCCTTTTTTCCATTTTTCTTGATTTTTTAATACAGTCTTCCAACGTATATAATCTTTCTCTATCGGATCTAGACCAATAATTCCTCTTTCGATCTCCTGGATGGAGGTTTCCCAATTCACTGCATCTTCCGGGACGAAGTTCGGGCCATTGTTCAGAAGCGCTTTTACCCTATTAGGTACATCAATTTGGTCCCAAACAACGTAAGTTGTAATATTCTTCCCTTTACTTTTTGGAACCTGCTTATAAATAATCCACTTCATTTTCTTAATATAGCGTTTAGTTAAGTTCTTATGAACATTATCCGTAAGACGAACGACTCTAAGGTTCATATCTATAAGCTTATCCGGATCTTCAATAAAAACCCTGTTTTCCATTTCAACAATGCGATTCAGGATCCCATACTTTTTATTTTTTGTTAATTTAATAGATTTCCTAAGGCACGCCATACAAAAACGTAGTTTTAGCGAGAAGCATTCTTTCGGAATGCGGAGTCTAAATATAGACATAGGAAAAACCTCGTTTTTTAAACACTCTCTTAAAAATTCCAACTTACAATTAGCTTTGACTAGTTTTATCGTCAACTTCCTGTATTCCTTGTACGGTACAGCTGGTGTCGCCATGCTACTATTGAATACAATCGTACCCAGCAAAAATAAACAAATAACGTGACCACCACCTTATTGCTTGCTGAGGGAGTTTTATTAAAATCGAACGTTTTCGATCCACTTAACGGATCATCATCAGGATAGAATATACTAAAATGGAATACAACATAAATGGAACAATATGTTCAAAAATTCAAAAATATCCATAAACTGATAATATATCAATTAATAAAAATAAATATATTTGTTGAATGTAAATTATATTTACATTCAACAAATATTTAGGAGGAATTATGAAGGAAATTGCAAGCGTTAAAGGTTCAAAGGTGATTTTGAAAAGAGCTCCCAATTTATATAAAATTCTTAGAAACGATAAAGGGGTTATTAAAAAAGTAGATAAGGCAGGTGTTTACAAAATTCCATACGAGAACCAGCAATTAGGAATAAAAAAAGATTACGTAGGAGTCACTACCAGAAACCTCGGGGTAAGGATTAGGGAACATAAGTATGATGCTAGAAAAGGGTCTAATACAACAATATTGGCCCAGATGGCGCAGGCCCAAGGATCCCTGATTGGATGGGAGGAAGCGGAAGTCGTGAGACAGGTGCACTCACCAACCTTGGCGAGGACGGCCGAAAAAATGGAGATATACAGGAGCAAACTTAAAGACGGATGCATTAATGCTAGGGATGCGGAAGGTCTTCCCTCGGCTTGGAAATTTGCCGTTAAGAAGCTTACAAGTAGCGCATCAACTGAAATATGATATTTGTTTGATTTAAAGGAAACTTATTATTAATGTTTGGTCGTCGTAGTATATTATTTATTATTTGGTATCGTTTACAATTTATTATTTATTTTTATTAATTGATATATTATCAGTTTATGGATATTTTTGAATTTTTGAACATATTGTTCCATTTATGTTGTATTCCATTTTAGTATATTCTATCCTGATGATGATCCGTTAAGTGGATCGAAAACGTTCGATTTTAATAAAACTCCCTCAGCAAGCAACAAGGTGTTGGTTACGTTATTTGTTTATTTTTGCTGGGTACGATTGTATTCAATTATAGCAGGTAGCCCCACACAACTGATTTTTAATTTTGCTTAATATGAATGATATTTTTTTTAAATAAAAACTAATAATAGCCGGGAAAAATATGCAACTCGTTGCTGGATTTTTTAATACATAAGAGAAATACTATTATTTTTGCCTTATGTTAGACAAAAAAATAGAAACATGATAATAATATAAAAATGTAACAAGGAAAACGACGTAAGTACTAACTTGAATTGAAAATGATTTGAAAATTGCATTCCATCCTGGCTTGATTTCTATTCGTTTAATAAAATAGTTCATAGAATATGTTGCAATGAGAGAAGAGTAGTCACAAATATCTTCTGTTTTATGTGAAATTTGAGCAAGGTTAGCGTAAATATCTGCTGTCTGTAAAATTAAATGAAATTATTAATTATTAATAAATGAAATTAAATAAAATTATATATAATTTGTAAAAGGTTAAATCAAATTAAATTGATGACATAACATTATTGGAAATTGCTGGTTTATTTTTATATGTATTGTTTAAGCGTTAAATAAATTATTTAATCATTCCTCACCTTGTTAGCTAATTGAGCAACAACTCCGCCATATGATCCATCCTTATTTGGCATTTTAGGCCAATCCAGTATTGGTTCCACTATTTTATATCTGCAAATTTATACTTATACTTAGATATTATAGTTAATCAAAAGAGAATTATATCGGATGTGAAAGTAATTGGACTCTGTCAACCACTCATTAGAATCTTATAGAATACAGTTGTTTCTTCCATAATCCTTCTAAATACATATAAATTATACTATTACTAACCTTTTCTGAATTTTCTAATGGTAGCTGTTTATATGTTTATTAAGTAACGTCTCTTCAATCCGAAAAAACTTCCGGTAGTCCGATATGTCCTTACTCCATCCCCACCACCCGGCCGCTCCATTGTGAGCCTGTCCAAACCCACAATGGACTTGCTAAAAGAGGACCTCTTAGGGCTGTTTCACACTATGACTGACTGGACCGATTGGTCCGATTCGACCGATCCTATAATCGGACCAATTAGTAATAGAGGCATTCACATTGAGTACGATTATACGTCGGCGGACGATTCGAAAGGACCAATTGGAACGGGTGTTATAAATCGTTTTAAGTGTTTTTAATTTTTAAAAATATTTATGTAATCTACTTGGTTAAACTTTGCGGAAATATCTTACTTCGTTTATAATTTTTTCTGAAAAGACTAAATAATAATACCATTTTTTTCATTATGTCGATAATGTTTTTCAATATATATATAAGTCATTTGTGTTCCCATATAAAATTTAAGCAGTTATGAAAGAAATAAAGTAAAGGGAAAATTTAAATAAAGTAGAAATATATATAATGTAAAGTTATGTTTGATTGATTCGATAGTTTTCATATATCCAAAGTCTGATTGGGTGTAGTTTCGAAGCTCTCATTGGATGTACCTCACCGACTGCTCCGACCAGACTACAGATATACTTTACTTCTTAAATCTGTCCGACTGAAACAACCAATCGGTTGGCCGACTGCTGTTGCCATGATAACACGACTTGGAGTCGGCCCAGTCGGTCCAATCAGTCACAGTGTGAAACAGCCCTTATTGTCCACAAGCGGAAAGAGTTAAAGAAAAGCCCCCTGTCGTCATCATATACACGTTTCTTTCGTTGCTATTTTTCTCTACACAGTACAGTATAACAACTCTTTCCATGACATTTACATTCTATTAGGTATTATAAATAATCAAATATATGGAAATATATGTCAATAAATTTAAGAAACATAGTGAAACATATTGAATTATAACTAATTTCATACACATTTTACAACTGTAACCACTGCTAAGATGTTAATAAACGGGACATATTACTCTTAAAAGAAAGGGCGATAACGAAAAACAGTATACTGTTAACATGAAGCCAAGTTTGTCTTGTTTTCCTTCGAAAAACTAGAAATGCGAACAGTTAAGATTAATTATACGTAACAGGTAAGAAGTAAGATTAACTTTATTTTATGTACTGGCGCGTTCTAGTAACAATATCGGACTCTATCGTCAGCTTTTAAACGAAGTTTTCTGATCTTTGTCTTTAAACCGAACAGTTGTTCACAATACAGTCGTATCGTCAAAGTTATGTCGGTGGAAGACAGTTCTTTCTTAATGACGCCAATCAAACTATATTCATCATGCTAAAATTTGTTTCGGTTGTAGAACAAATCGGTTTTCGAACAACTTTTACGAAGGAATTATATCGAATACCAAGATTTGATTGCATTACATTTTTTCACTGTATACCAGGTGTGGGCAAGCAAGAGTTCAGTGGGAGCCGAAATGTTGGTTTTGGAAAACGCATGGGAGCCGCAGTTCTGTACTTTTTTATTCTGTACTGCAGTTCTGTACCGCGATTTTGTTATGTTATATAAATATAATATAAAACGAGTAATAAATCATTTAATACACATATTTTCACAAAACTGTGAAAATAAAATTGTAACAAGAATAATAAAAAGCAGAAATTAACACTTTCAGCAAGAACTGTAACTCAAAAAGAGCAGAATTTGCCCATGTCTGCTATATACTTACGAAAAATAACACATTAAAATATGTTTTAAAGACTGAATTTAATTTTTGGCAATGAGAAAAAAATTGCTTTTGTTTTATTCGAATTCTATTTCTGAACAGGTGAAATTTAGGAGAGAAAGAAACATTTAAAAGTGAATAAAAATATAAAGATTGAAAATTTAAAAAAATAAATAACTCGTCAATAAAATTCATTTATTTCAACTCACCTAAACTTTAACTTTTTGTAAATGATGTTAAAGAGTTTAAATTCTTTCAAGATTTGATCGTGAGGAAGGTGTTTAAACTGGGGTTTCTGATAAAAAGTATTTAAATCAGTAAAAGGTAGATAATTACTGTTAATAATTGTATAATAAAAATGATATTACGTACCACTGCTACCTTCACCACGTAAGAGTTTTCATTGTCATCTTAAACAGTAAAATATTTCTTATATTTTCATAATTACATGGCTAAATTTGATTTATAATGAGTAGTAAATATATTTTAATAATTAATAAAATACCACATTTAAGAAAAACTATACAGTCGACCCCCCTATAAGATCATTGATTTTTCCGTTTTATCTGAATCACATGTTGTACGAGTCACTTAGATTTTACAAATACGTGTGCCGGGCTGTGAACGGCTCACATATTTGTAAAATCTAAGTGACTCGTACAACATGTAATTCAGATAAAACGGAAAAATCAATGATCTTATAGGGGGGTCGACTGTATATCGCATTACAGAATACTTTGATATTTGTTTTACAGAATGTTTGATTCTTCTATGTTCAGACCATGTTAGTTTATGTGACTCAAATTATAGAAAGTTTCAATAGATATAAATACATTAAAATAGTGTAACACAACTAAACGTGACATAATAAAATAATTTATTTTTTTTAATATTTGAGGTCCAAATTAATAGTAGTTTAACTCTCATATTCAGGCGAACAGAAATATATATATATATTTTAAATTTAAATAAATTTTTTAAGAGTGGCTAAATCCCCTCACAATACTTTAAAAGAAATTATCAGAAATACAATACAGTCGACCCCCCTACAACACTGTAGATAATTCTGTTTTATATGAATTCCATGTTGTATGAGTTACTTAGATTTTACAAATACATAAACCGTTCACAGCCCGGCACACGTATTTGTAAAATCTAAGTGACTCGTACAACATGAAATTTATATAAAACAGAATTATCTACAGTGTTGTAGGGTGGGTCGATGTACTCATATCCTCTATTACAAAATTTTATGTTATATATAATTAAAATAGTAAATTATTACTACTCTATAGCAAATGTCACTGTTACATTATTGTTCTGTTACTTTATGAAAATCTTCGACTAAGAACGTACTCTTATACTCAGTACTCACAATCAATTTATTAAAAGTTAAATTGATTGTGCGTACTCTCAGATATGAAATACTGTAATAATCAATATCAATAAAACTAAGGTAATGTAGTTAGGGGAAAAACAGAAAAATAATATCTTTACAGTTAGATGGACAAGAAGTAGAAAAAGTTGAGGTATTTCACTACCTAGGTTCATGGATAAGTGAAGAAGGATGAAGTGTAAAGGAGATAAGAAAACAGAAAAGCAATGGAAAGAATGCATTCATTAGAAAGAAAAAACTGTTAAGTAAATCATTAAATATTTCACTAACACTGCGAATGGTGAAGCGCGATGTTTGGAGTATAGTATTATACTGAGAAAAAACGTACATAATGAGAAAGAGAGACAGAAGTTTGATGGAAGCATTTGAGACGTGCGGGGAAGAAAGATCCAACTGATTAAGACAGATAATTTTAGAAACGAAGTAGTTTTATAAGAAATTCAACAAAGAAAAAAAATATTAAAGAAAATCGGTAAAAGTAAAGGAAAATGACCAGGGCATGATTACAGAAGACATTGCTTGCTGAAGACAGTGCTGATATATAAAGCGGATACAGTAAAGAAAAGAGAAAAAGAAAAAAAAATACTAATGGATGATTTATAACTGGACAAATTTATATAACTCCGAAAGCCACAGCTAATAATAGAGATAGTTTGAGAAAAGCATTCAGTGCTCTAAACACCTGTCCTTGAGCAGAAAACATAAAAAGAATTGTATAACACAAAATACATGTCCTTTTGTACTATCGATCTATAAGTTGAATTTTAGGCAATCATTTTAATTTCGTTAAGGATATTGATTTTTTTATAAATTAAATTCTCTAAAATGATTTTGTAATTTTAAAAATCAATTCTTTGAATATTACCATACAAAAGTACAAATGAAAATAGTAACATAATTAAATTTCTCTTTTACAAAAGTAAAATACGAATTAAAAAGTACTGTTTTCATAAGTAAATTAGTTTTCTAATTAAAATAATTGTTTATTTGTACTAAAATGTTTTAATGAATTCGTTTGCTGTAATTTTTTAAAAATATTTTTCAATTTTCATTTAATTATATAAATCAATCATACGAAGTAGAAAATAAAAGAAATAACAGAAGGTCAAATTTTATTATAAAATTATATTCATAAAGTGAAATCAATGAATAAATAGAAGTTTATTCTGAAAACAATGTAAATAATTTTATGAAATATAATTTTTTCATTTTACATATATTTCCTGTATTTTATAAAGTGATAATTATAAATGTATTATTGTTATTTTATAAAACAGACAAACTCGATCAGTTTCATTAAATAAACGAAATTTTAACGTTATCAAATCAGCTTATTCTGAGTAAATTCTTTACCTGTAGGAACGTTTAAGCAACTACATTGAGGAAATTAGTACTTTTCCATAATATATTTTTAGCTTGATTCTATTTAGCGCTATTCCATTCAATCACAATAGTAGTTTAGTTCTGAATAATACAAATAATTTTTTTTGATTATCGATTATATATATATATTTTAAATTTAAATAAATTTTTTAAGAGTGGCTAAATCCCCTCACAATACTTTAAAAGAAATTATCAGAAATACAATACAGTCGACCCCCCTACAACACTGTAGATAATTCTGTTTTATATGAATTCCATGTTGTATGAGTTACTTAGATTTTACAAATACATAAACCGTTCACAGCCCGGCACACGTATTTGTAAAATCTAAGTGACTCGTACAACATGAAATTTATATAAAACAGAATTATCTACAGTGTTGTAGGGTGGGTCGATGTACTCATATCCTCTATTACAAAATTTTATGTTATATATAATTAAAATAGTAAATTATTACTACTCTATAGCAAATGTCACTGTTACATTATTGTTCTGTTACTTTATGAAAATCTTCGACTAAGAACGTACTCTTATACTCAGTACTCACAATCAATTTATTAAAAGTTAAATTGATTGTGCGTACTCTCAGATATGAAATACTGTAATAATCAATATCAATAAAACTAAGGTAATGTAGTTAGGGGAAAAACAGAAAAATAATATCTTTACAGTTAGATGGACAAGAAGTAGAAAAAGTTGAGGTANATATGATATGATATGTTTAAAAGTGTTAGAAGGCCGAACCTTACGGCATAGCCTTTGAAAAGGAAGGATGAAGAGTTTTAGAGGAAATGAGAAGAGGGAAGAAAAGTAAGGAATGATAGGAAAGTGTGAAGTGGGAACCATGGCGACATCGCGTTCCATTTATTGAGTATACTTTAGTTACAACACATGGGACATAGTCCACAGATAACAGTATGGTCAAAATATATACAGAACTGCTAAATATAAGAGAAATATATTACAAAATAAAAGCTTATATAAAACAAAAAAGAGAGAAAACTTTCAGTTATATTGATATGAATATTTCCTTTGGTGTGTGTATTGGATACATGAATTTTCCTAAAATTGAAGTGTTTGTGAATAAACAAATATATATACAACGCAACGATGGCAGATATAAGTGTAAATTTTATATTAATAATTAGTAAATTTTTCAAATTATTTTATAAAATAAATTCTTAATAACAGTTTTTTTAATAAACGAAAAGTGTACGAATTTTTTTATATAAAAACTGTTATTATAAATAATATTAGAAAATATTTCTAATAATACATACATTCACATATATACAATGCAGCTGAATAAGAATAAAGTGTAGGTTACAGTTTACATTAATTATTTTATTAGTGAGATAAATATACTTATATACAAAAATTTGCAACGAAAAATATCTTGAAAAATAATTTCATTTTGCTCACCATTTTTTCTTTCACCATTTGTAAGAGATGACAAGTAAATTAGTATTAAAATACAGAATACGTCTTTCATTCTTCTTCTGATGTGCGATTAACTAAAATATTTAAATATCACCTATTGTCATGACAACAAACACATCTTGTTTGACGTAATAAATGCCAATTAAAAAGAACCAATCAAACTTCGTCGATGGAGTAAATGTAAACTCGTTTCATAGTTACGTCATTAACGGTTTATTAGTTTAAACACTTTTTAATTACGTTCATTCAAAATCAAATATATGTTCGACATTTTCAAAATACAGAATTTTTTTAGGGAGACCCATAATAGAAAGGCCATAAACAAAAAGTCATAGTTCTACTTACTAAGTGTGAACCGTTCAATACGCAATTACTTATTCCTGTTGTTGTCGTTGAACTACACGTTGGAGAGCGAATGCGTACAAGGCGTGTGACGTAAACTGTCTTCATGATCACTGGGTCAGTCTTCTCAGTCACGTGACACACTGACGTGTCTTCAGAACTGTCTGCTGACAGAAGATTTCATTTTTTCGACTTGAACTTTCATGAACACGTAATAGATCTTTCAATGACGTCATTTTTAAAACACACAATTTACCTTTTTTTCGGACTCTAAAGTGACGTCCTATCACAGTTTCATGACCATTGATTTAGTTATATTTCTGGTAATTGCGTAACATTCTACAACATAACCCATCCAGTTAAGATTTAAAAACGACAATGTTTTGTTTTATTTATTTTTATTCACTTAACAGAAGATGTGTTACAATTTCAACACTTGACGATGTTCCATATTTATTTAGTTGATACGGTTACAAATACGATAACACGTTTCGGGCACTGCCACTCCTCAGTCAACTAAATATCAAAAAATGTTTATACATAAATTCTTTTTCTGATAATAGCTATAACATAAAAAACTTTTTTCCTGGATTAAACTTTTTACAATAAAGTGTTTCAAAACTTTATGTATAAGTATAACAGGTTTTACCAGCGCAGAATTTAATTGTACCTAATTTAGACAAACAACCAACTCATAAGTATGAAACTATGTAACAGAATATATATATAACCGATGTATAAATTTATTACAGTACATTAATATTAAAAGTACGTACCTGGAAATAATTTTCTTAAAAATTATTTCAAATGGTTTAAGATTAAATTCATTCTATAAAAAGGTTTTTATATTTCCGGTATACTAACTGAAGGATTACAGGTTAATAGACTTTCAACAGTCTTATACAACAGATCACTAACCATTACAGTTTACCATTACAGTTTACCA